CATTCCCGCCTACGAGTGGTGGTCGGAGGCTCTTCACGGCGTCTCGTACGTGGGACCCGGGACGCGATTCTCCGGCCAAGTCCCCGGAGCCACGAGCTTCCCTCAGGTCATACTGACCGCTGCTTCGTTCAATGTGTCTCTGTTTCAGGCCATCGGCAAGGTAAAAGGACCAAACCCCATCCCAGTTCTTTTGACATTTTGCTGTTTTGTTTCTCTTTTTGGACAATGCGTAAATGACAGACACAATCTTTTTAATTTCTTAGAGTACAAGTAAACACAACGACAACCTTTTTCTCTTGTAAGTTTTTTACCATATCTACCCTAAATAATGTGCAGGCTGTCTCGACGGAGGCAAGGGCAATGTACAACGTGGGGTTGGCCGGGCTAACGTTCTGGTCGCCCAACGTGAACATTTTCCGCGACCCGAGATGGGGAAGAGGGCAGGAGACTCCGGGCGAGGACCCGTTGCTTTCGAGCAAATTCGGCGTTGCTTACGTCAAAGGTCTCCAGGAGACAGAAGGCGGCGACCCTAACCGCCTCAAGGTCGCAGCTTGCTGCAAACATTACACAGCTTACGATTTGGATAACTGGAATGGATTCCACCGTTTCACTTTCAACGCCGTGGTAAATAAATGCTTTTATGGAATGTGGTTTTTTTTTTTTTACTACGTACGTTCTTGTTTTAGTCTAAATGGGTTATGGGTTTGGCAAAAGTTTTAAACTTTTAATGTACTTTGGTTTAGGTGAGCCAACAAGATTTGGATGATACGTTCCAACCACCGTTCAAGAGCTGCGTGATTGATGGGAACGTGGCAAGCGTCATGTGTTCTTATAACCAAGTTAACGGTAAACCCACATGCGCCGACCCGGATTTGCTCTCCGGAGTTGTCCGTGGCCAGTGGAAATTAAACGGGTACGTATAGATACGGTCTCGGATACCGTTTTCATCGTCGGAATCTTATCGAAATCCGATTCTGGTTTATCTGTCGAGGTTGTGATGAATTGATTTCTTCTGATTATAGGTACATTGTCTCGGATTGTGATTCAGTAGAAGTCTTGTACAATAATCAGCATTATACCAAGCCTCCCGAAGAAGCTGCAGCCGTATCTATATTGGCAGGTAAAACACTGAAGTCCGGTACAATGGTTTACCAAAACCGGAGAAATCCGCTAACCAATATTTATGGTCTCTGCACTCAAGGTCTGGATCTGGACTGCGGCTCGTTCCTGGGTCAGCATACAGAGAACGCGGTTAAGGCGAGGCTGATCGATGAGGCGCCGATTAATCGAGCCATCACGAACAATTTCGCGACTCTGATGCGTCTCGGGTTCTTTGACGGCGACCCGAAGAAACAGATGTTCGGACAGCTCGGTCCCAAGGATGTCTGCACGGCTGAGCACCAAGAGCTTGCCGTGGAAGCCGCCAGACAAGGCATTGTCCTCCTCAAGAACGCTGCCGGATCGCTGCCGCTACCTCCCTCTGCGATGAAAACGCTTGCCGTGATTGGTCCGAACGCTAACGTCACCAAGACCATGATCGGAAACTACGAAGGTTATCTTTTTTTCCCACACCGTTCCAAATTCATTTGGCTTAGTTGGTTAAAAACCGAATAACCGAACCGATTCTAATCAAATAACGGTTAAACTTAATCAAACCAAATTCGATATAAAAATGAATTGTTACGGTTTTTTTTTTATAAAAAAATAGAACTTGAATGCAACTAAAAAAAATTTCAGCGTGGGGTGGTAGGATGGTAAGGTGAGAGGGACAAAGTCCCCTTACCCGAGTTCGAACCCACCTCGACACCAAATAAAAACCCATCCTGGGTAGTTCAACCGGTGAAACGGGGGCGCAAAGCGTCTGTCCCACCCCAAGTTCGAACCCCAGGATGGGGAGAGAGCGCATAATTCAAATCACGTGGCTGGCTCCCGGCCCCGGGATTAGTCTGGGCCTCGGCTCAGGAAACCCGGTTACCAAAAAAAAAAAACCCAAAAATCGATTTTTTTTTAAAAATTAATATTTGCAATGAAAACCGAAAAGTGAATTAAATTCGTGAATCAAATTCTATATATAAAACGAATGATTATAAATTTTTTAAAATCGAAATTATCGAACCGGAATAATAAAGTAATTCCTGTTCACGATATATATCATCTTTCATCTGGTTCAACACTCTCTGAAGTCTTAAGGTTAAATCAAAATTATTATTTTTTATTTTTTAGGTACGCCATGCAAGTACATAACTCCTCTACAAGGGTTAGCAGCCACTGTCTCGACAACATATTTCCCGGGTTGCTCCGACGTGGCGTGTGCGGCCGCGCGGGCGCCAGCCGCTGACGCAACGGTCCTGGTAATGGGGGCGGACCAGTCCATCGAGGCCGAGTCGACCTGAACCTCCCCGGACAACAGCAAGAGCTGGTGACCCAAGTGGCTAAAGCCGCTAGAGGACCTGTCATTCTCGTCATTATGTCTGGTGGTGGTTTCGACGTCACGTTCGCCAAGAACGACGGCAAGATCACTAGCATTATGTGGGTCGGTTACCCTGGCGAAGCCGGTGGTGCCGCCATCGCTGACGTCATCTTCGGCCGTTATAATCCTAGTAAGCGGTTCTTCTCCCGGTTCGAACCGGTCCGTACAACAATGACGATTGATTTCGATGGTCCGGTTATAATGTTTTGGGGGCATGAATTTGCAGGTGGAAGACTACCGATGACGTGGTATCCACAATCCTACGTGGACAAGGTGCCGATGAACAACATGAACATGAGACCCGACGGGGCAAACGGGTATCCGGGTCGGACCTACCGGTTCTACTCGGGCGAGACCGTTTACGCCTTCGGAGACGGACTCAGCTTCACCAATTTCATTCACCAACTGGTCGAGGCCCCACGGCTCGTCTCTCTCCCTCTCCCCCCTACCCACTCCTGCGTTTCCTCGGCCGATTGCCAAACGCTGGACGCCGTCGGACCCCACTGCGCAAACACAAACGCAGACGCAAACGCCACCTGTTCGGGGGCGTTCGATGTTCAACGCCGCCGCCGTCGGCGGTAAAGGGGTCGCCGAGGAAGCATCTGTTAGGGTTCGAGAAGGTTCGATTGGGGAAGGGGGAGGAGGCTGTGGTTAGGTTTAGGGTGGAGGTGTGTAAGGATCTGAGTGTGGTCGATGAGGCCGGGAAGAGGAAGATTGTTTTGGGGGATCATGTTCTTCGTGTTGGGAATTTGAAACATTCTTTGAAAATTAGGGTTTGAACAGAAGGCGGCAAACTCAATCCGTTGTTCATTTCTATGTGTTTTTCTCAGTTAATAATGGTTTTGGAATTTTAAATTTCCTCTTTTTTTTTTTTTATATATAACTAATCTTAAAAAAATTGATCAACTTAATAATTTTCTTTCAAATCAGTAGACAAATGTTACAAGGTTGAATTTGATGTGAACTGTTGACGACGTGGCTACTGAGCCTATATAATCAAAATGCCATGTAAACATATTGTTTTAAATGATCACAATTCACATCATCAATTACATATATATTTTCATATATTCATACGTACATACATAGTAACATATATATATATATACACTTATATGTATGTGTGTATATGTATGCATGTATGAGTATTTATATACACACGTACATATATATATATACACACACATATGTAAATACATGTACATGTTATTTATATATACGTACTTGTGTAAGTGGAATTTTTTAAACAAAACTGATAGACAAAAAGGTGACAATGCAGATTTAAAAGCCAAATTATCAAAGATTTAACGGCCAATTCATGCCGAATATGATACATTTTGTCGAGTTGTTGTGTTTTGGTGGGATTTTTCCTAGGACATTTGTATTCTCGGTTTAAATATATGGGTGGTTGTACCGAACATCTTGTCGCTAACGCAATCAGATTATATTAAATATATACCTGTTTCCACATAAAAAAACACACAGATATACCTTTTGGTTATAGGTTATTAAATTATATAATATTATATCATACATTTTTTTTGTAAGTATCTGGCCAAAAACAAAACAGATATACCTTTTGGTTGTATTTTCGGTTTAGTTCGGTTCTTTTGGTGAAACCAAAAAACCGTTTTTTGGGTTTTATCAACTTTTCTTCGTTGTTGATTCTGGTTTTAGATTTGTTTAATTCCAGAAAGTTTGTTTTTTTAATTGATTTGTCGAATTATTATCGGCTGAACCGGTCGCAATAGGTCATTAATCAACCAAACCGGTTTATCAAACATCTGGTTCGGTACGTGTTAGATCCGGTCTGACTCGAAACATAATTTCACCTCCCCTGATTAGCAGCAGTCACGTTGACGCCGTTCTTGCTGTAAAATCTCTTCGACACACATACCTAAAGCTCGAACGAAGATTTTCGTGGAAAGAAACACTTTTAATGAAAGAAAAGCAGATAGGACGAGAACCCACTTTTCTTAATCCATCACGGTTTCTTTTACTCCGTCGAATTCGCATGCACTTGAGGAAAAAGGTGTAACTCCATTCTCCAATCCAATTGGGTGCTTTTTGGTGTGTTTGCTTCCCCCCCATATGTATCGCTGAATTCTGAATTTCAGGCGGAGCGTGGCGCTGAAATTCAGGCATGGCGCGTGACGCGCACGTGGTCCCGGCGGACCCGGCGGCGGTTGTCGCGGTGAAGAAGAAGGCGCCGCAATCGTCGCGGAGTTGGGTCCTCATAGACGCTATGGGGCAGAGCACGGTGCTCGACGCCGACAAGTACGCGATCATGCACCGCGTCCATATCCACGCGCGCGATCTCCGGATCCTCGACCCGAATCTTTCTTACCCTTCTACTATTCTCGGCCGAGAGAGAGCCATTGTGTTGAATTTAGAGGTAGGTTTTGTCGTTTCTCGCCGTTTTCCCCTGCCGTAGGTGGTTTCTGGGTTTCCAGTGAGTTGAATTTATGTTTGGTTTCATGTTTGTGTTTGTGGTGTTTTTCTTTCCGACAGCATATCAAGGCAATTATCACTACTGAAGAGGTTAGTTTACTCTCTCTTTTTCTTGGGTTTGTTTTTTCTTCTCGTTGGCACGTTTTCTTCAGCAAATTATCTTCTATTTCACAGGATGCATAGTTGATTCTAATTTCATTGTTTGGGTAAATTTCTGGGTAGTGAGGGGTTTTAATTAGAATGCTAGTGTATAGAAGCTCATAATCTTTGCAGGGTTCAAATTAGTGGAAGGGCACTTGAATTGTTTTGAGAATGTGACACGGCTTTCTATAGAGTAAGATTGCATCATGAAGATCTGTATTTTCTGTGATTCCTGAGCGTTTTCTTCTCCTCGAAGTGATGGCTTGGGGGTTAGTTTGTATTGTCTGTGTATTGATTCTCTGAAGTTTGCTGTTGACTCAACCTGCTATTAGGTTTTGTTACGGGATCCATCAGATGAAAACGTTATTCCTGTTGTGGAGGAGCTTCAAAGGCGGTTGCCAGCTGGGAATGAGGCAGGCCATGTTCAGGAAGATGGGAAAGAGGGCTTGGCCGCACAAAATGATGTTGATGCTGGTGAAGAAGACGGTATGCCCCTGAGTCTTTTGCAATTTAAGTATTCAACCAAATCCCGAAAATTTCCTGTCCTTTTTTATGTTTACGTCATGTAAGTATTTTATATAAGAAACGCATAAGAATCTTGGCTGCTTGCTTGAATTTTGGTATCTGAAGTGCATGCGTATTGCGTGTTGCAACTTAGAATCTCCATTTGAATTCCGGGCACTAGAGGTGGCTTTGGAAGCCATTTGTAGTTTCCTAGCTGCAAGGACGACGGAACTAGAGACTGCTGCTTATCCGGCTTTGGATGAGCTTACTTCCAAGGTAGGTAACTCTTGTTGATTTGTTTTATTTACTGATCCATTTTTTAGCTGAATTTTCATTTTTTAGTCTATGATCAACATGTCACATCTTGTAGATAAGTAGCCGCAACTTGGATAGGGTTCGTAAACTCAAGAGTGCAATGACTCGGTTGACAGCTCGTGTTCAAAAGGTGAGGAGGTTGAGGTGGTATCTTTTCTAAGGCATGCACCTTCTTTTGTGCATCATTTTTAAGTGAAACTCACGAAGAGAGAGATGCGTTTAACAAATCATCAAAATCAAGAGTAGAAAATTATGATTTGGCAAGGTTTCGAGCTAAATATGGCTTGGACAAGTAAGCTGACTACTTACCCTTTTTTGCAGGTAAGAGATGAGCTCGAGCAATTGCTGGATGATGATGATGATATGGCAGATCTTTACCTTTCAAGAAAGCTAGCTGCTGCTTCTTCACCGGTCAGTGGTTCTGGTGGAGCCAATTGGTATCCTGCCTCCCCAACAATAGGTTCGAAGATTTCCAGAGCAAGTAGAGCGAGTTTAGCAACTGCTCGTATGGATGAGAATGATGTCGAAGAACTTGAAATGTTGCTCGAGGTTGTTTCATCATAACCCTTATTTTTTTCCCATCTGGTGGGTGTGGTACACAGCTAACGTGAAATCTAAACGGGTATCGTATATTTTTTTTTCCAGGCTTACTTCATGCAAATTGACAGCACGTTGAACAAATTAACCACGGTATTCTTCTTGTTTTTTTTTTCCCCGCTGTTCTTGCTATGGTATTAAACATACTTGACATGAATCAGCCATTAGAAATCTTTTGATCTGCGCCTGAATCTGTTAAACAGTTGTTGTTTACACAATGGTCCTGTTTTTTCATCACAATCTCGACTATGTTCAAAATTCTCTCGCTGCAGCTACGGGAGTATATTGATGACACAGAGGATTACATTAACATCCAGGTACTTCCCAAATTCCAGGAGTTAAATCATAATAAATGCAATCTTGCATAGATTAGCCCTAGCTTAAGTTTGTGATAGAACCCACCTATAACAGGCTCAATTAAATCTTAGGTAGAACTTATCCCAAAACTTAGCTTGTTGGAAGAGAGTGTCCATAGCCTTATAAAGACTCAATTGTCCCCACACATGGTCGACGTGAGACTCTAAAAATAGAGCCCTTTTAGATAGCACTGACCATGGCACTACCCGGCCTCTGGCGGGTGACCGTCCATATGTCCGAAGATTGGTCTGGAGGGATAGAACTCACCCCAAAATCCACCTTGTTAGGGGAGGATACCCATGGCCGATGTGGGACTCTAACACTTAATCGATTTGATTTTCTTTTTTCTGCAGCTGGACAATCATCGTAATCAGCTCATTCAGGTGAAGTGGTTCATCCTTCTTTCTAGTTTCAAAGATGTTTCCTTCAAGTACCCTAAAACTCGTATTTTGATTTAAGTTTTGGATACCATCTCATCAATGTCTGTCTGGATCTCGAACTGGTGCAGTTAGAGCTAGTGTTGAGTTCTGGAACTGTCTCTTTGTCCATATACGCTCTGGTGGCTGGGATTTTCGGGATGAACATCCCTTACACCTGGAACAACAACCATGGTCACATCTTCAAATGGGTACGGACCAAATCTTTAACTAGATTCTTGGTGAACCAAAAGAAAAAAAAAGGAAGAAGATGCCATTGATGAGTAACTTGGTCAATGTTTTCATCGCAGGTTGTCAGCTTGACCGGATCATTTTGCGCCATTCTTTTCGTGATTATAATGTCCTACGCTCGTTACAAGGGCCTTGTCGGACCTTGATGATCCATTATCCTTTGCTGTTTCATGCTCATTTGAATTGGTAATTGTAAAACACAGCTTAGTTTACACCATCGATCCCCCTTGCAATCAAACTTCATTTTCATATGATTATGTATATATATATATACACACGCATTTAAATAAATATTGTGGACGTCAGCAGTTGGCGTGGAGAGTTGAGGCCACACTATATTTTTTTTTAAAAAGGGTGAGATTATTTTTTTGGTTTTTTTATAGAAGATGTGTATTTTTTTTGGTTTAATTAATTGATTAATTTAATGAGCCAAGATTCCTCTTTCTTCTTCCACTAGGCGAGCAACCTCATTGGCTGACGTTGTGGGGATTTGTCCCTTCGACCACCAGAAAAATCCTTCTCCTATTTTTTTATTCGTTTATTTTTCTAAAATAATAATCACTGGGGGCGCGTGCCGTGACATTTTCATCACGCCACGACAAAATTTCATATTTCGTTATATAACGTTCCTAAATTATCAAATTGTCCACTCTCCCCCAATTTATATATATAATAGCTTACAGAATAAAGTTCAGCAAATTTCACGGTTTTAACAACTCTTTGTACTGGAAAATAATCCAAATGGAGCATATAACAATTATTAAAAAACGTATATTACAAATGCATATTATGATGAACGGATAATAGTTGTACGTCCATTATAACAAATGACATCACATGCCGCACATATTCTTTGCTTCTATTATTAGATTCTGAACTAAGAAAACCGTGAGTTGGAGACTTGAAATAAATATGCTTCTAAAATATGCCTATTAATAATTATAACTGATGTTCGGGTGGAAAAAAAGTCAAATAAATTAAAAATAAGAAATAATTACTTACGTGGATAATCGAGGCTCTGACCGGTTGAGACGGTAGTCGGTTATTGTCCCCTCATTACGTAAGCTTCCAGAGATGGCCCGTCGCAGCATCACTACCACTCGGTATGACAGCGAGGGGCAAAACAGACCTTTTACTAAACGCTGTCGTTCTCGTACAAAAAGCAATGCAGATTTCCCAAAATAGACCGCGGTTTCCCCAATCAGAGGCGTTTCCCTCGCAGAACCTAAGGGTATATTAGGTAATTTACTCCTCAGTGACTCCCTGTTAACGAGAAAAACCTCTCTCTCTGCGACACCTGTTTTGTTTCCTTTTCTTTTGTTTCTTCCTCGATTTGAAGCCGAGGAGATTTCGTCTTCCGAGAATTTTGGCTAACGAATCTTGTCTCAGATCCACCAGGTCCTGAATTCTACCCTAGATTCTGCTCTCACTCCCCGTACTTCTGTCTTTTGCCACTGATCGAATCGTAAATGCTCTTTTTTAGCATCAATGGTGGTTTTTGTTCTTCCACTGTGAGAATCTGCTTGTTTCTTCGTTTTCTGTGGTCGTGTTTTCGACTTGATTCTGGTTTCCCTTGCTTGCTTCCTTGTTTCCTTTCCTTTCCTTTTTTTACTGCCGTAAAATTTCTGCTGTTTTCTCTCTCTTTGCCGCAAACTCTATGGTTCATAATGCGTGAAATGATATCTCTGCTTTCGGAGTAGTGCTCACATCTTTTAATTTGTCCAGATATTTTTGTGCTTTTTTCTTTTACTTTGTCTTCTACTGATTTGTGTTTTTTTCTTCTTCTGGGTTTTGTTTGTTTGTCTCTGCGGTTGATTTTGGATTATATTTATTCATCAGATTTCGAGCGATTATGTGGTGTATAGACTGCTTCCTTCATATGCTTATGTGCATGTTTTCATTTTCTTTCATGTGATCTGTTGATGTTCTGTGATGAAGTTTGAAGATTCTTTCGTTTGGTTCTAGCTTCGATCTCTTCTCCCCGAAAGCTGGGAAGTAGAAAAGGCCTTGGCTTTCTGTTTCGTTACCGACACAGTGGTTCGTGGTTGGTTAACTTGTACTGCTGGTTCTTTTACCATGTTTTACTAATCGATTTGCAGACTTCTTGTTGTGGAAAGAGACAAATTCTGTGATGTCTGAGAAGCAATGAATGGAAAGGTCTTGAAGCTGGGAAACCTGGGATTGATGTGTTTGTTTGATTTTTGAAATCCGCGGATAAAACAGATCTGCAGCTTTTCGATCCTTTTGCTCTTCTGTGTGTTCAAGTTGAGTTTTTTTTTTTTGTTACCTAACTTTGCTGATTGAAAGGCTTTGGATCGCAAAGATCCTTGAAGCTGGTTTTGTTTTGTTTTGTGGTTATAAATCATAGAAATATGATTGCGTTTCACTGTAATTTCAATTTGTATCAGCAGATAAACTTGTCAGGTTTGTGAGATATTCCTTGTGTCGGTTTTCTGATTCTAAAAACTGGATACATGGCATCTATATAAGTTCATGGCCGCTTTCTCAGTTGCAGTCTTCTTACATGTTGAGACTTTATGTCTCCATAGGGTTTTGTCTTTCCACATAAGTTTTCGCTTTCCTGATTGTATGATGTCTTGCCTTTGCCAGGTTCTGTGTTCATTTCTAGCTGTTTAGCTCTATGGACTCCAACAGAGACACCGCTTAAGATTCTCTACCGGCCTATGTTACAACAGTGAAAACTTCCTACTTTTGGGTTTCATCTTGAAGATGGATAGATCAGATACTTCGGGATTTGTCAGTGGTGGAAGCTCCTTGTTTATCAATTCGGTCCTGATGCTTATGCCGAGTTCTGTCATGTACTGATTGTCATTCTGTTCGTCCGGGCATTCTTCTTTCCACTACATCCCTACATGTTCATATGGATTTGAACGAGAGCCTAATCCATCGTTCTCAGGCTACTGGCTTTCTCATTAAGCACGACAGTTTTGGTGATACAGCTCTCAGCCTGAAATGCTCCGGGAGCAGCACCTCAAGAACCGATGTTCCTAATTGTCCTGATGATGTTTGTCGGCTGGTCCTTGGTTTGGGTCCAACGCCCACTGCTTATTATTATCATGTCGGAGTTGATACAAATAAAGGTCCAGCTTCTGGATTCAGTCCTGAAGGTAATTCTATTCTTCAGCTTGGACCTCCAGCTGAGAGCATGGACACTTTCAGTGGACTTGATTGTTCATTGTCTGCATACACAGAGACTGCTGCTTCCCTTCTAAATCAAGTTGCTGCAGACAGTGGCGGTCGAGTGATTCCTGTTGTTGATGAAGGTTCTTCCTCGGCAAAGAGATCTGGTGGATATATGCCCTCACTTCTATCGGCTTCGAGGACAGGCAATGGCAGTAACCTGTCAGGGATCCAAGAATTTGTGCAGTTTGGAACCGATGAACGTTCTTATTATTCACAGTTGAGCCTCGAGCCGTCATCTCACACCGAGTTCTCTGTAGGAGCTAGCTCTGACAGGACGGCAGCTGTCCCTTTGCAACACAGAGCGAGCAACTCGAAGAAGTGCAGATTCTTTGGATGTACGAAAGGAGCTCGAGGAGCATCTGGTCTATGTATTGGCCATGGAGGAGGACAGAGATGCCAAAGACCAGGCTGCAACAAAGGCGCCGAGAGTAAAACCACCTTCTGCAAAGCTCATGGAGGAGGAAGGAGATGCCAACACTTGGGATGCACAAAGAGCGCGGAAGGAAAGACGGATTTCTGCATAGCCCATGGCGGAGGAAGAAGGTGCCGGTTCCCCGGGGGATGCTCCAAGGCTGCTCGGGGAAAGTCGGGGCTTTGCATAAAACATGGCGGTGGCAAGAGGTGTAAAATCGAAGGATGTACACGTAGTGCGGAGGGGCATGCCGGTCTCTGTATCTCCCATGGAGGCGGAAGACGTTGCCAATTTCCGGAATGCACAAAGGGTGCTCAAGGAAGTACAAACTTCTGCAAAGCCCATGGGGGCGGGAAGCGTTGTATATTCGTGGGTTGTGACAAGGGAGCAGAAGGGAGCACACCTCTGTGCAAAGCGCACGGTGGCGGGAAACGATGTCTCTTTGACGGAGGAGGGATTTGCCCGAAAAGCGTCCATGGAGGAACAAACTTCTGTGTTGCGCACGGGGGCGGGAAACGATGCGTAATACCAGGTTGTACGAAGAGTGCCCGTGGTCGGACAGACTGTTGTGTGAAGCACGGGGGCGGGAAACGATGCAGATCCGAGGGGTGTGGGAAGAGTGCGCAAGGTAGCACGGATTTTTGCAAGGCGCATGGTGGCGGGAAACGTTGTTCGTGGTGGGGAGACGTGAAATGCGAGAAGTTTGCGAGGGGGAAGAGCGGGTTATGCGCTGCGCATACCAGTATGTCTCGGGAGAAAGGGAAAGGGATGATGAACAAGACAGGTCTGATCGGGCCGGGACTCTTCCGTGGGCTCGTCTCGGCTTCTACCACGACCACGACAACGACGGATCACTCTCATCTGTCGGGAGTCAGTGTCGTGTCTGAATGCACGGAGTCGTATGAACGGAGACGGCATGAGAAAAGGCAGAAGCTGATACCGATGCAGGTTCTGGTGCCGCCATGTTTGAAATCTCCGAGGGAAGAAGGAGAAACTAGCAACGACAGCAGACGTAGCAATGGTGTCTTCGATTTCGAAATGCGAGAAGTTTCCGAGGGGGAACAGCGGGTTATGCGCTGCGCATACCAGTATGTCTCGGGAGAAAGGGAAAGGGATGATGAACAAGACAGGTCTGATCGGGCCGGGACTCTTCCGTGGGCTCGTCTCGGCTTCTACCACGACCACGACAACGACGGATCACTCTCATCTGTCGGGAGTCAGTGTCGTGTCTGAATGCACGGAGTCGTATGAACGGAGACGGCATGAGAAAAGGCAGAAGCTGATACCGATGCAGGTTCTGGTGCCGCCATGTTTGAAATCTCCGAGGGAAGAAGGAGAAACTAGCAACGACAGCAGACGTAGCAATGGTGTCTTCGATTTCATGATTCCGGAGGAGAGAGTTCATGGCGGTGGGCTCATGTCTTTGCTCGGTGGCAGCCTGAAACATTCCATTGATGGAATCTGAAGCACCTTTGTGAGAACCTCTGTCTTCGTGTTCTGTAATGTATAGTTTTCTGTCTGATTTGATCACTTTCTTGTATATTTGTTGGTTAGCCAATTGTGAACCGTTGGTATGGCCCGTATGGGTATTGGTGTTGTGGTCTGAACCATCACCTCGATGGCTCGAACCGGTCGGTTTTTATTTATTATCTTTGGAAAACGGTTGTGTTTCTGCTTTGCTTGGTCACTGTCCAAGCTTAATCAATAAACGTGGGGTTCTTGTCTTTTTTCCCTGTAATGTCAATTGGCTTTTTATCAGATATTTTAACCAAAAAAAAAAGAAACAGAATATTGTGATTTTTCGAGATTTAATTCGATTAAAAATATTCAATCTAATTTACGGAAACGCCATTGGTTTGCTACTGAGCAGAAATGGCCAAACAGAGGAAGGAATCAGAGGATAAAGGATAAAGAGATAAGGGAGGAGAGGAGAGCTTCAAAAAAAGAAAACAAATTATTTCCACACAAAAAATATATTTTATGAATAACCAACAAAAAATAAAATAAAATAATTTATAAAACACGTCATTATCCGTACGGAGAGAAGTTCTTCAAACGCCTCTCTTGCAAACTGAAACACTTTCAGAACAGCAGAAGCTCTTTTCGTCCTCACCAGACAGCAACTATGGAGTTCCATGGAAACACCAATCAGAGGATTGCTATGATTTCGGCTCATCTTCAACCTTCTTCTCTCACTCCTCAGGTTCTCTCTCCTCTCTCTGAAATCTGAACCCTTGCGTCTTACCCACGTTACCTTCTCTGCTGCTTCAATGGCTGCCTTCACATAACCTGATACAGATCTCGATCTGATTAGCTAGGGTTTGTGATTCTTGCTTACCATGCTCATCAAGATTCGATTTTTCTGTCCATTCATGAACCCGCATCTTTTTTGATGTACTAATGCCATGGCGTCTTCTGTTCATAAGAGAAGTTTTAAGCCCTCTTATGACTAAAGTGAATCAAATTACCCCTATGTCTTGATGATCGATCAATAGATAGAAGGAATTTCGGTCTTGGGGCGAGCAAACTGCAGAGCGAAAGGCGGGAATCCTGGGTTTAAGGTAGCAATTCTGGGAGCTGCAGGTGGAATTGGGCAATCACTGTCTATGCTTCTGAAGATGAACCCTCTTGTCTCAGTGCTTCATCTCTATGATGTTGTCAATGCCCCTGGTGTCACAGCCGACATCAGTCACATGGACACTGGAGCTGTTGTAAGAGAATTCAGACATATATATATATACACAAAACAAAAATGGGTATTCTTGAAATGATGAACTTTTTTGTCTCTCTGTTTGGGGGGTCATAAGGTTCGTGGATTCTTGGGGCAACCTCAGCTTGAAGATGCACTTACAGGGATGGACCTTGTGATCATACCGGCCGGTGTGCCGAGGAAACCCGGGATGACCCGTGATGACCTCTTCAAGATCAATGCCGGAATAGTCAGGACACTCTGTGAGGGTGTGGCCAAGTGCTGTCCTAACGCCATTGTCAACCCGATCAGCAATCCAGTCAACTCTACTGTTGCCATTGCGGCTGAGGTTTTCAAGAAAGCTGGGACTTACGATCCTAAGAAACTTCTGGGAGTTACTACACTCGATGTCGCGAGGGCCAACACTTTCGTGGCATGTCTCTGAAAATCTTGCTCCATCAAACCGCTGTTTGGTGGTTTTGTTTTGGCAGCAAAAAACTTATCCAAGATCTGACATTTTCTAAGCGTTCTTGAGTAACCCTTTTGGCTGGATTCTGCAGGCAGAAGTTCTCGGCCTCGATCCCAGAGAAGTTGATGTACCAGTTGTCGGAGGACATGCCGGTGTCACAATTTTGCCCCTTCTATCACAGGTGCATATACATGAGATACACACAAGGCTTGTTCATATCCTTCCTCGGTGCCATTAGCAGCTGTTAACTTGACGGCTTCTTCAATCTTGTCAGGTCAAACCTCCTAGCAGCTTCACACCTGCAGAAGTCGAGTACCTTACAAACCGTATTCAAAACGGTGGAACTGAAGTCGTGGAGGTAAAACTTTCAACAATTCAGACACGTAAAAATTCTCCCTTCATCTCTCTTGATGATGCTAGTATCTGAGTTCGATCCACATGCGCAGGCAAAAGCCGGGGCTGGATCAGCGACACTGTCAATGGTAAGCAAACTCTGTACACTAGTCTTCCTCTTCACCCTTTTTCAGGAATTGTATCAATAGCATGTGAAAATGAACAGGCATATGCCGCAGCAAAGTTTGCAGACGCTTGCCTCCGGGGATTAAGGGGAGATGCAGGAGTCGTGGAGTGTGCCTTTGTAGCTTCGCAGGTTCATAATCTCGGTTTCTTCCTTCTACGAGCTCTGAGCTCTTCTACGTTAACGTTTCTGATTGTTTTCGGTAACAACACCTCAGGTCACAGAGCTGCCTTTCTTCGCAACCAAAGTACGCATTGGCCGTGGAGGAGCAGAGGAGATCTACCAGTTAGGACCTCTAAACGAGTATGAAAGGTAGAAGCTTTTGATCAGACCCGAGAAGTTATCAGACAAACCAGTTTGATCATAGGATCAGTTCTCTGACATGTAAGGTTCTTGATCTTAAATCTGCAGGATCGGTCTGGAGAAAGCAAAGGCAGAATTGGCCGGAAGCATTCAGAAAGGGATTGATTTCATCAGAAAATGAGTGAGAAGACCAATTAAAAATCAGAGAGAGATGATCATACATACCCCCTTTGTCTACATTCCCAGCTTGTGTACTCTTTTTAACTTCCAGTGTGCTAAAGCTTCAACATGAATGAACCCTAACTAAAAATCACGGGGCTTTGTCCATGATTTACAAGCACAATTGCTTCTTTCAAATCCTAAGCCATATGAAATCTGAAAGCCAATGAGTTCAGGAAACTGACAAGCATAAACATGAAGATAAACGATGGAAAACAAGTAATCACAGCCACTGAAGAGGAAGATAAAGGATCAAACTTTCCATTCCGACAACTTCCAAAACTCTCTCTTGATTAATCAGCGTAAAGCCCTAAAATAAACCCAGAAAAAAAAACAAACACTTCAATCGATAAATTACTTACAGAGATGGCTTTAGGGTTAGGGGGATTGGCCTCAGGAGACGAAATCAAAGCCAGCGAAGATGGCAAAACCGTAAATAGGAGGAGAAACAGAGCTCCAACACGAACCAACAATCTTCGATCCATGGATTGAACAGAAATCAAAATCACCCTTTTGAAAATAAAACCCCATGATCTATACGAGATAATAAAATAAAAAACCCTCGCGCCGATTAATCACAAAGCTCCGAGATATGTAATGGCATAGAAAGAAAATTCGAGGCTCGAAATTTGCTTGTATGAAGCGATGTCCGTATTTATTGCTCCTGCGCAGGGATGGTTCTGGTGGACGTTCTCAAGGAAAGAGGTGATGACGTGGACAGCATCCACCAATGAGAGTGTGGAGGTTGACGTGGCGAGCGGAGAATATCCGAGAGGTCCTATCTGTGGGGCCCACAGTCCGGACACTCATCTCAACCAATAAGGAGCCAGCCAACGGACGCAAGGCCGCCACTTTCCAGAGGAAGAAGACGATTCACGTAGCCAAAGCTCAATCTTCCACAACAATGGCGGCCACGAGGGGGAGA